ATATAAACATTGTATAGGTATATAAGGGGAACCAATAAAGAAAGTTTTTTAGTTGACGTTATGCTGTTGGTTAAAATACATGTGTTTAATTGACTTTAACATTTGCAACTCAACAGAATATGGATCGTCATTTGCGCGGAACCTATTTAACTTCTTGGAAAAACGCCATGAATGCAAAGTCTTTTATGTACATACGCCAGCTGTTGAAAGCTTATTATGCGCGACGCGACATCGACACAGAACACGCTTAAACGGCTGCCGAAGAAAAAGATCGAAAAAGACGAATCGATCACATCTTACGGTGGGATTATTATTGAATTTCATTTTTTTACATTTAGTATTTACATCGTTTTGATTACACACAGTTACGTGTTGAATCCAAGAAGCGTGGTGATTCCAGATGACGATTTATTGCAATTCATGGAGGATGTCATGCTTCCTGACTATTATTATATTCATTTACTGTTCTATTCCCCTTAGCATTGGAATCTTGTCGAGTGTGCCAATTTGATGTGTACATGTACACCAGTGACCACACAAACAGATAAAAATGTACCTTTGATACAAGCATATGGACGAATTGACCTAACAAAACTGATTAAGTTTCAAAAATTCCGTTAACTATCTCTCCCAATGCAGTATTTCACAGTATAAGCAAAATGAAGGCGTCGTTGCTTCGAACAACAAAAATTGTAGTCTTTCTCCCGTTATGAATTCACGGTGGATTTATTATCTTAAGCAAAGTGGTCTGCTGCTGGGGCGTATTAAGTGCGATTATTGTACAATAACATTTGGCAAACGGTCACATTGTAACGCTCACATGAAGGCGAAACATAACGAAGACGCTGTCGTATCTCTATCAAAGTGCACTTTGTGCAATGAGTGCTTTGGCTACAAGAACAACGCAATTGTGCATTTGAAGCGGACCCACAAAGATATTGTAAAAGATATGTCTGCCGAACAAATTCGTAATTTGCTTGGTTCTTCAAAGATGATAAACCCAGGTACTAATGAATATTTCAGATGTTTGTCGAGAGTTCATCTAAAAAAAACGCATTTCTTCTGTGAAATCTAGCACTCCCCCAGCTCCAAGTCATGTTGGATCGTATGCCATCGAAAGAAAATTTCTGTACATAAAACTCACCTCTCATGTTGATTTCTCGATTTTTTGCAGGTTGATAAGGATGCAATACTAATCTGCTATAGTAAAAAATTGTTACCATGGGAGGAAATCCTCGACAAAGTAGAAAACTAGTTTCATATTTTTTGTTTTCAAATGGTTTTCTCTCGAATTTCACTTGGAAATGGAACGGGGGTGGAATTCTACGACACGATTCCGAACAGTTTTTGTGGAATTATTCCGAACGAAACATGTCTATGAATGAATCATGATGGATTTTGTTTTAGATAAACGCAGACGATTAATGGGCGTTGTTTATTTTGCAGTTATTATAAACAAAAATCCACTCTTTTTAGTGGAATTATTCCGCAACCTATTTCTAATGTGAAATTTTTCCGAATGTTTTGGTCGAATGACACACTGACCATTTTGCGGCGAATTCGAAACTCATCACACTGATACTTGCGCCGAGTTTATTCTTTTTCGAAATGCACACACATAACGAGTGTGAAGCAACAAACTTAACGTATCTCCTTTTCATTCCTATACGATTTTATGCAGCAGAGTATTAGACGAAATTAGTCAATACATGTGTGCGATATCCACTGAACGATTGTGTTGTGTTGCATTGCGGCCGCTCATTTTAATTAGGACAGTGAGCGAATAAGAGAGTGAGAAACGTATAGTGGTCTCTTTTATATTTTCGCTCTTCCGCCGTCTTCCTTGCCACAAGTGGGTGCGTTGAATGTTTGTGTGAGATACGTTCGGTTCGGAAAGCTGTCAATCGTTTCAACCTGTCAACTTTCAAATTGCAACCGAAAAAATCACCAACTTTATCGATTTCGTTTCACAAAATGTCCAGTGAAAATAAAAAAATTACCATGCAACAGAAGGTTGCTATGGTAGATTTCATGCAAGAGAATTACTCATTTTTAATGGGCCAATTCTCTTCCATGGAAGGGCGAATGAAGAAGAATCTGAAGTGGAAAGAATTTGCCGATGTGTTGAACAAACTCGGACCACCGACAAAAGATCTAGCTAAGTGGAAAAAATCGTGGTCAGATATGAAGAGTGAAACGAAGAAAAAATTCCAATTGAAGCGTCAAAATCTTCATACAAGCGGCGCTGGTCCGATCGATGTCGTTTTTTCTCAGTTGGATGAAAGAATTGTTCAAATTTGCGGAAAAAAAGCTATGGATGGTGATGCCGACATCAACGAAATTGGTTTTGATTCGAAAAGTAGCGGCGAGGCCGATGACGATGGTGATGTAGATGGTGAGTCAATTTGCCATGTTTTATTGATCAATTTTTTTGCAAATAGAAATGTATTTCAAATTGTGTTTATATTTCAGACGTGGTTTACATTGAAAGTGAGCAGAAAACTTTGACACCGCTGAAGACGCCGAGCAAGAAGACACCGCTAAAAACGTCTCAACACAAGGTTACATCATCGATGTCACGAAAACGGTTGTTCGAGGAAAATGACGATGCATTGAGCGGTGCGTACTTGAAATTTCTTCGATATCTTATTATTCAACTTATTTGTTGTATGTCAATTTGATTTTGTAGGTTTTCCTGAAGATGACGACACATCAAAAACACCCACAAAACGTTCATACCGATCGCAAAATAATCAAGTCGAATTGGCTCTTTCTCAACAAGAAAAGCAAAATATGCTCTTGGAACGAATTGTTGAGCAAAATGATGGAATTCTGGATGAACTGAAAAAGATGAACGGACAACTATCCACTCAAAGCAATAGTCTCTTCCGTTATTAGTGTTTCTAATCGTTTTTTTTCACTATTTACCTCGATGTGTTCATAAAAGTCGCTGTTTCATTCCCAAACCAAAGAATATGTGATTTTCTAAATAAAAACTAAGTAGCTTTGCATACACCGTCTTGTTTTCTTTATTTTGAATAAATTTTCATTTATATTGAATGAAAGAAAAATCTATTAAATCGTTGCGAAATTGAAATTGTTCATGCAGTAAAATGTTTGCTTGCAGTTTATGCATTAGTTTTAATTTATTTGCATTCGTAAGGCTAACTCATTTGCCAATTGATTCCGACGGTGTTCCCCTGACATGCGATTGGCTACTAAATTTAAATTTGCGTTCACGTTAAGATTTCCAATTTGATTATTATTGACTACTGCAGCCAAATCGAGTGGATCAATGTCATTGAATATATCGAAACCATTCAGAATGAGAAAATTGTGAAGTGTGGCACAAGCATGAACGATTTTACTGACTTTTGTTTGATGGTATCTCAATTGGCGTTCACCCATAATGCATCGAAACCGAGTCTTCAACAAGCCAATAGTTCTCTCGATCAATGTACGCGTAGATACAACGAGATCATTATAAATTGTTTGATTCATGGTCAAGTTATCACCCTCAAACGGCGTCATGAGAAATGGCAAGAGCGGATATCCATAATCGCCTTAAAATATATTTTATAAAAATTGTTTAAGAAATCATATCAGTCAATCGTGTAAAATGAATATATACCAATAATGATGTTCAGATCGTGTGGATCTCGTTCATACAAATTCCTGAGGAATGTGTACAGTCGACTGGCCAGAAAAATAAATGAATCATGCGTTGAACCTGGATATCTGGCGTTTATATTCGTGATGACCATTCGAGCGTCACAAGCGATCTGGACATTAATTGAATGGAAGCCCTTTCTATTCACGAAAGCATGTTCAACTTCACGAGACATGGCCGAAATTGCCACATGAGTGCCATCGACAATGGATAGCAAGCCGGGAACATTAAATTGGGCTTCAAAACGTAATTTCGTCGCGTCAATTTCAGCTTGTGTTTGTGGGAATTTTATGAATCGTGGTGCTAAGTGGCTCGAGATTATGTCCGTATATTTGTTGACATAACGACTTATCATTGGTTGACTTATTGCGGCAAACGCATCAGCACCGACACGACTGCGAAAATGTTTAATAATTAATTAGAGCACGCAAATAAATCACAAAATAAATTCAATACATCAAAAGTAATATATTATTACACTTGGTATGAGCCAGATGCGTAGAAGTTAAGTACAGAAAGCACTTGTATTTCCAAAGGAATGTCACCCAGATTTCTCACAAAAGGACGAATCGTGTCGATTAAACGAAAAGCAATTGCTTGCGGAAAACGATACTGTTTTCTGAACAAATTTCCAGAAATTTCAAAAGGGTTGATGGTATCGCGCAAATTTTTCTTCACAATTCTATTTGATCTATTTCGTTCTCTTTCAATTAATGCCACAATAAATGCCATTGCGAACCAAAACTATCCGCCAGAACGCAAATGTCAACGAAAGTGTCAACCGCACATTTGACTTTGTATGTATATTTTCACACTAACACAACGTCGCTATGTGCCCTTGCTACATTTAAAGTGTATACACAATGTGTGTTAGAGTGAGAGAACATGTTGTTTTCTTTATAGAGAGCACCTAACATGCTTGGTTTTGAACACTTTGCACTGCACCACTGAAGTCTGTGTGTGCACAGTCTGAATGAATACAGTTGTTTACATAAACAATAATTCCGAACATTTTTGGTGGAATGTTGTAGAATTCCAGCCCGGGTCACTTTATTTCCAATGTAAACTGTCGTCTTTTCATTGCTACTTTATCCATAAAAATCCCATTAAAAAATCGCATAATCAGTTCCAGAATAATTATCATTTGAGTCAACAACAACACAAAATGTGCAATCCACTGGAATGCAACGGCCTTATACTGCTTGTGACACTTGACGTTAATTTGAACCGGTGAAAAAACGGCCAACTTTGAAGAAAACTGTTAGCTGCTCATTATTCTTACAGTCACACAATCAACAAAGTGATTCAGGCTGTCAAAACAGTAAAATCACTACTCAATTTTTACCCAAATATTTTTTTAAAAACATTGTCATTTTCTAATCATTGCTGCTTAATTTATTTCAGAGGCTTTCGTTCTCGTTCACTCAATGGCCAATTGCAAAGTCGTTCAACGAGCAAGACGAAAGACAGCGTCGAAGCAACAGCAGCAGCCGCCGCAGTAGACGTAAAAGCAAATCGGGTAAATTAAATTCCAACTTTGTATGTTTGATTTCTTCGTTTATTTCCAAATATGAGTGTCGCCTCAAAACATTGCTATTTTCTAATCATTGCTGTTTCATTTATCCAATAGACTCTCGCCGCTCATTGAGCCCAGCTACAAAAAGACAACGTTTGCATGAAGTATTTAATAGCTTCAAAATAGATATCGCAAATGTTGCAGAACATTTCTGCCTCAATCTGGAAAGAGCACTTCTGACTATTGTCGATGTTCACGATGCAAATGAATCAAATGTCAATCCAACGAGCGAAAACAATGAATCGCATACCATTGCCGATGTCCACGATGCAAACAATGCAAATGAATTAATTGTCAATGTACCGAGCGATCTCGAAGCACCGCACATTAAGCAAGAACCACCAAATCCGACTAGTGTTGTTTTACAACGCAGTGGATATTATACAATTCCACCGTTGGATAAATTGACCGATTATTTGGCCGAGAATGGAACAAGCATTGTGCCAAACTTCACAATTGGGCACAAAGAATACGGCAAAATTTTCTTCGACGAGCCATTCAATGTGGCTGGCTTAAATTTAGATAAATTGGTGTTCATCAGACTGAAAGAAGTCGACGTATATCCAAATGGATCACCAGAAGAAGGTGTAGGTTTGAATCGCAAAGCGTTAGTTACATTGCATCAAGTATGGCCCAACGATGAAACATTGCTCGTACCAATCAAAGATCGAGAACGACTAGAAGAGATGAACTTTGAGGCGGAATTGCGTACGTTTTGTTATGAAAATGATTCAAGATTTGTGGAATATCGTCCTTCAACTGGTAGCTTGTCGTTTGAAGTGAAACACTTTTCTAAATATAGTATGAGAGACAAAGTTGATGATAAACCCATCGAGATACTGTCAAGCGATAGTGAAGAGGAAGAAGCTGGTCCCAGTTCAAAACGGCAGGCGTTACAGGAAAAAGTGGCACAGTTGTCATCAAGTAATGCTGTCACAGCATTGGTTCCACCACAACAGGACCACAGTGCCAGTTCAGCAGCTCCGATCCTGTCAAAACCGGTCCGATCCTGTCGGGAAGAGCCGAAAAAATACAATTACGACAATGATGAGGACAGTGTTCAAGAACCATACGCAACCGACGAGCAATCCGATTGGAACAATGAAAGTAATGAAGAAGAGAGCGAGATGGATGTTGATAGTGATCTTGATAATGTTGCAGAGCCAACGTTGACACATTTGGACATGAGCAATGAAAAAGGTATTGTTTTCATCTGAAAAAAGGCATTTCATATTTTTTATTTGTTTTTGGATTCAGTTTAATTTTTTTAAATAATGCAGTTTTACAAAAAATATATATAAATTCATCTTTGTTTTACAGCACACTATTCTGCGCAGTCGCGTTTGCTGCAACGAGTTTTTAAAAAACAGCCATCGTCATCAACAGCCTGTCGATCGTCTGAAAATAACACCATTGCTACTGTGAATCATTCTGATGAAAGTTTTGATGAATGCGAGTCATCACTTGATTTGGAGGCTGACAAAGAAATTGCTGACTCGGAATGGAAACATGTTGAAATTCAACTGCTATGGCCGGAGAATGATGGTGTCTGCAGATTTATGACTTGGGCAGAGGTTTGCGATTCAATGAAAAACACAAAATTCGATGATGCAGTATTGCACAAATTACGACTGACAAATTCAACCGCTCAGGAGATTTTAGAAAAAGGAACATCTTCCATGAAACATTTTTTTGGAGACGTTGTTCCATCAAATGCCTCAGACTTTCCAGGCTTAGCTAAGCTGTATCGGTTTGAAATTAAGAAAATTGATTTTGGTAGTTCGGTGCAACCGATGAGACAAAGAAACAGGCATAGACGAGCAGAATTTGCAACAAAAATGAACGTATATCGCGGACTATCTGTCGATTTGAATGAATTGCGCCCGAAATCATATGCGTCATTTTTTATGTGCTTCAAAAGTTCGAATGGTGGGCCGGTTGGTGGGAAGGAGATTTCATTGTTGGAACGGGTGCCCATAAAGTCTTATGATATCAATCAAGAATCCACCAAACTATACAATGATGTTTTGTACAGAGTGAGTCCACAACTTGCTGAAAGAATTCCAAATATTTGCGACCAATTCAGTATTGGTTTTTTCCTGCGTTGCCAAATCTACTCATTGACGTCAAAACAATTTGTTTTAAACAAATTACATTCGTTTGTCCGATATGCCCGAGGTTCTATCAAAAGTACGACGATTTTTGCAATCATCTGGAAACGCACAAAACTGAAAGCATAAAAGACTACATTTGTGGGATTTGCAACGATAGATTCAGCACGGCTTCTTCTTTGCAACGCCATATGTCGTATAAGCACAACGCGAAAATCTCTGAGAACGACATTACTTCCAAATACTGCCGCATTTGTAATTTGTCTTTCCAAACAAACAGGATTCTGCAGACGCACAACGAACGACAGCATAGTGTTGACATGAAAATGTATGTGTCATTTGTAAAGCAACATTTCGGTTCATGAGAAATCTGAAAAATCATTACAACAAAGTGCATCACATTTGCTATTCAAAACTTCTTCGTACAGACGGGACATACGATGATATTATCAATTGCGCTTTTTGTGAAGAGACATTCGATTCGGCTACAACGTGCAATCGACACATTATTACCAAACATCCAGAGCACCTAGGAATAATTTTACCTGCACCAGATGTCCCAAAAAGTACAAAACGTTGAATTTATTACAAAATCATTTCTTCTTCAACCACGTGGACGATGAGCGAACAAAGTGCAGAGGATGCGGTAAAAAATATGCATCTCGTCAAGGTTTGCATAGACATATGGCAAATTCATGCAAAAAAAGGCTGAAGTTGTAGCTAAATCAAATTACATTTGCGATTTATGCAAAATGCCGCACACCACGCCAATGGGTTTGCGTATGCATTTGAGAAGTTGTATAAAGAAAAACTGTGGTAGTGAGGAAACTGGACGGCGTTTCGTTTGCAACATATGCTCAATGACATCCACAACGCAAGAAGAAAATGAATTACACGTTTTGGAATGCAGAAGACGAAGTGACCAAAGCAGAATAGTCGAAGAGGTAAAATGTCAAGGTTGCAACAAATCATTCACCTCGATTATCTTTTTAATTAGCCATGAAAGGACATGCAAAAAAGACGTTTGATCCCGGTCAAATTACATCACATTTCATATTTATTCTTTTTTTTTCATCCGGTTCATTTTTTTATTTATTCTGTTTATCAAAAATCCCATCGGAAAAACTTAAACTGTATCGGAAACAAAAAACATGCTCAAAAAGTCAGCTGATCTGATTCAATGCATACCAACCATTATGATCTCCATCTAAAAACATATCAGTGCCGGTATTCTACGACTTTCCGACAAAATCGTTCGGAATTATTTTTTTCGTACATAAGACCATATTGGAGTGAAAGAGAGAGATTCCACTATTTTTCAGCTTCCCACCGGAATTATTTCTCACACAATCCA